GGACAGGCTGGTGTGCTTCTTCCATGTGGGTTTTGTTGTCTCTCAGCTAGATGGCTGCTTGTTTATCTTCATGTCTTTAAGACTTCAGGTGCTATATCTTTTGGTAGCTGGGCACCATCAGCTTTCTTCACCACATTGGCTTATGCAGCCATCGTACTAGGAAGGTGAGCATCCCAGACTGCCGAATTGTTAGAACAAAGTGCTCTTGTGTTGAGGGAGTACTTGTGCAGGGGCCCACTGTCCATCTGTTTTCTTAATACTCAACCTATAAATATATGTACATAGATCTATTTCCCCCTCGTCGTATATAAATATAAATATATTTACATCTTTATGTGCGTGTATTAAATCTCTATGCCTACCCTTTGCCTCCTAGTTCTTTCCTCTATTTCTTTGTACTTTCCTCTTGTCCCACTATCATGTTCTGCCTTCATTTGGGTTTTAGGAATTCCTCTCAGTTAGATTGCCCTTGATCCAGCCCTGCCAGGCCTCCCACACCCTCCTTGACACTGATTTTGGATCACTTGTTGCTCCCTGGTTTTCAAGACTTTTTAGCAGAATAGAAAGCTTCCTCATTCTGCCTCCGAGCAGGTGGCTTTGAACTGTTAACCTCTCAGTTAGCAGCCTGACACGTACGCCGCTATGCTAGCCCACTGAGCCACCAGGGCTCCTTTTCCTTAATGGAATCAAGTTCCTGTTAGGTAGGGGTATGACAGTTAAGATTTTTAACCTTCTTTGCCACTAGGAATGTCTAATGAATGTAAGCAGATATTATTGGTACATTTCTGAGGACAGCTTTAAAGGGGACTGTAAATGATCTCACAAGTACCTTTTTGCTCTATTCCTGTATTCTTAACTCCAGGAATAGTGTTTGAAACTTCAATAGGCAAGATACATACTTGAGAGGCTGAGCAGAAAGACAGAAAAACACCAATGAATGAATTGGTTTGGGTTCTTTATGAGAGAAACATACAAGAATAACTGTGTAAGCCACTATTAAAAACCACTTACTAACAGCATGATTTCATTGTTACATGATATGACCACGTGCTATGACAAGATATAACTTCTCCAGATCTACAGAAGAGGATGTTTTATCTCCATATTTACATCCATGAAAATTTTAGATACTTCCCAGGAAGCATTATATTTTTCAGAAAATTGTCCAAATTTATTACAACTAGACAAGAGAGTGGCCTCCATCTACTGCTATTAACAATCATTCCCTACGCTCTCCTTGCTGAGTTATATATTAACTCTGCAAATGGGATTTGTTTAGTAGCTCCTTGCCTATCGTTGAAACACATCAATTGATTGAAGTGAAGTAAGCCTAATGCTGTAAAATAATTCAGAATCTCTCTCCTGGACAGAGAAAGTACAGATTAAATGTGAGGTATCACTCTGAACCCAAACACCTGCTTTCTTTTGCTGGGAGGAAAAGTAATAAGGCTGAAGATCAAGTTCTGAGAGGGATGGCTGGACCAACAACCTGGAACCTTTGGTTTCAACTCCATTAGCCCACTTCTTGCTGACTCCAAGTGTATTATACATCTGAATGTGGGAGCATTGGAGGGCAGGCTTATATAAATGCACTGCTTCTGTGATTAGATGTGTTTTGGGGATAATTGGCACATACTCTTTGGAACATTTTTGCACATTTTAACAAAGTAATTATACACTAGAAATGTGTAAACTCAGTATTTCAAGCATGCCAGATAATGCAATAATTGTAGCATAGAAGTTTTTTAATATCCTTGTGTCTTAGTCAACATATGCAATCAAATTAAGTTTCAAAGTAACTTGATCCCTGAAATTCATGTGGGAGGATCCAAGCACGGACATTAGAAATAAGATTGTAAAAGGGGATTGAACTGCTGAACTATAAGCATAGTTCAAAATGTTAAAGATTCTTTGAGAAACATCATAACATACTGCTGAATATAATTAAAATAACTTAAGGAAATGGAAAGGCATATTTTGTTTTGAATAGTAATAAGGAAAAGACAGCAAAAAGATGTCAATCCTGTCTGAGTTAATATAATAGTAGTAATAAAATTTAATTATACATATTTATTTTCTTTATTTAGTCAGTCAGACAAATTTACTCTAAAGATTACTTTAATGAAAAGCAAATCAGAACATCAAGGAAAATCTATAAAAAGAACACCAATAATGTAATTACTCTTATCAGATGTCCAAACACATCTCAATTAGTAAAGCCAGTGATATTGCAAAATAGATGGCAAGAACAACAGAGCAAATGCAGTAAGATACAGAAACAACTGTATATGAAAATGTGTCACATAGTTTCAAAATAAGTATGCTTTAATCTGGGAGAAATTGTCCTTTCAATAATTGTCAAAGAAACTACTAAATAACTATAGGGCAAAAAGAAAGCCGGCCTCGATGATGAAGCAGCAGCAGCAGAAGGTTCATTAACACGACTTTTCTTAGTTAAAGCAATGAGGACTTGAAACATTTACTAATAATGATCAAATGATACAGCCTCTAATATGGATTACAACTCTGTGTAACAAAAATGAAATTCCTCTCAACTGAGTCAATAGATAGCATCACGATAAATGAGGAAAAGCCTGAGGTTCTCTAGAACCTTTGTTAACTTGGATCCATAATCAATGATCATGGAGTCGTATTCAAAATGTCATCCTGTATAATACTGGGCAAGTCTACTGCCGAAGACATTGAAAGTGCTAAAGAACAAAGATGTCACTTTATGGACTATGGTTTGCCACTTCATATGCATGTGATAGCTAGATAGTAAATGGATAAGGAGAATGGGAAAGGAATTAATTCCTTTGAATTATGTCGTTCACAATGAATATTGAAAGTATGGTGAACTGTCAGAACAAACAAATCCCTCTTCAAGTGCAGCCAGAATGCTCCTTAGAGTGGAAGATGGGAAGATTTTGTTGTTTATACATTCTACATATTATTAGGAAAGACCAGTATCTGGAAAAGGAAGACCCTGACAAGATGGATTGACACAATAGGCGTAACCGTAAGAATCGCGAGTGTGGCATATGCCCAGGCCGCCTGAGGTGCTGTTGTACAGAGGGTGATCACGAGCTGGGACTCACTGGATGCCGCCTGACCGCAACAGTTACATGCATAGGAGTGTGATGACTTAGAGCGACTTGATGGCAATTAACAACAGAACAGGAAAAATATAATATTTGGCCTATTTTCTATAATATACATAAAATAAATCCAATTGGATTAAAGAGTAAATGTAAAAATATAACACCAACAAATTGGAGGAAACAACATGAATCAAATTATTTGTATCTTGGGCATTGGGCAAAATGGGCTAACTTTTCCTACTGATCTTTTAATATCCTGATGGCATGACAGAATGATTGGCAAATTTGATTCTAAATGAAAACTTTCAAATATCTGGAACCTATAAGAAAATTATATTTTTATTTTATAATAGACACAAAGGGGAAATACCATTTGAACATAAAGCATTTCTAAAACTAGAGAAAACTTTAAAATGTAATAGAATTGTAGGCAAGAAACAGGAACAGACTCAAGAGTAAAACAAGTGCTTGCTTCGGCAGCACATATGCTAGAGTTGGAACGATACAGAGAAGATCAGCATGGCCTCTGCGAGAGAATGACACTCAAATTTGTGAAGCATTCCATATTTAAAAAAAAGAGTAAAACAAATGCAAACAGCCTCGATTGAAATAAAGGAGACTCAAACTAATTTGTGAGGAGTTAAAATTATAATTACACTGTGTTAGTCCAGGTAACTAGAGAAACAAATTCATAGAGACTCTCATATGGGTATAAGAGAGAGTTGTATATAAAGGGCAATTGTACATTAAGAAAACATCCCCGCCCAGTCCAGATCAAGTCCATACGTTTGATATTAGCCCATATATCCGATACCAATCAATAAAGTCCTCTTCAGACTTATGAAACGTATGCAATGATGCTGAATGCAGGAAGATCACAGGGCAGTGGGTTGGAAGTCTTGTGGATCCTGTGACCTTGTAAGCATTTCAGTGCTGGCAGGGGTCTCTACGTAGCCTCTCCAGTCCAGAGGTCTGGTTGCATCAGGGTAGGTCCAGGTGGCTTCTCCAGTTCAGGGCACTAGCATAGTTCCATGTGTCTTATCAGTAGATCATCTCCCAGGGAGTGAGCCTTGTCAGTAGAGAGTCTCCAAGGGAGTGAACAGAGAGAGATGTGTCTTCCACCTCCAAGGAGGAAATAGCAGAGTTCCCAGAATTCTCAGGAGAAGGCCATGCCCACAAAAAGGCCTCATTGATTATATCTTGATTGACAGGACAGACTCCACCCCTTCATTTTTTTTTTTTAACATTTTATTAGGGGCTCATACAACTGTTATCCCAATCCATACACACATCAATTGTGTAAAGCGCATTTGTACATCGTTTCTCAAAACATTTTCTCTCCATTTAAACCCCCGACATTAGGTCCTCATTTTTCCCCTCCCTCCCCGCTCACCCCTCCCTCATCAGCCCTTGATAGTTTATAAATGGGTATTTTGTCATATCTTGCCCTGTCCGACGTCTCCCTTCATCCACTTTTCGGTTGTCTGTCCCCCAGGGAGGAGGTCACACACAGCTCCATGTAATCGGTTCCCTCTTCCCTACCCATTCTCCCTTTACCCTCCCTGTTTTGTCATTCACACCACTGGTCCTATAGGGCTCATCCGCCCTGGATTCCCTGCATTTTCAGTTCCTATCTGTACCAGTGTACCTCCTCTGGTCTAGCCAGTCTTGCAAGATAGAATTCGAGTCATGGTAGTGGGAGCGGGGAGGAAACCTTTAGGAACTAGAGGAAGATTGTATTTCTCATCATTGTTACATCGCACCCTGACTGGCTCGTCTCCTCCCCGAGACCCCTCTGCAAGGGGATCTCCAGTCACCCCTTCACTTATAACCCTTTCAAATTGACACCAGATGATGTAACTACCACATATATTTTGGATAACATTTCTCATTTTAAAAATAGTCACAAACCAAAGCTTGACCACACCCTTTGCTTTTGAGGTTGAAAAGAAGTCAGCAGTTTCAAAACACTGGAGATTTCTATTCACTTCACCAGTCAAATATCGATCAAAGCTGTGCTCAAAGAACATTAATAATTAATGGTTAGTAGAATGCTAAAGTTGACAACAAAGAAGGATGAGCAGTTGGAAAACATTGTCTTGGTGATAGAATTTTGCTAAAACAGTAATGCATCCATTGCCAGTCCCTTTTTCTCAGCAGCATAAATGGTGACTGGACACATGTACCTCAATGAATGGAGTACACTGTGTATTAGGCAGGGTTCTCTAGAGCGGTAAAACCAGGGATACTTGTATGTGTATGTTCATAGAAAGAGATTCATATTAAGAAATGGCTCACATAATTGTAGGAATGGGTAAATCAGTCCGTTTCAAGCCCACAGGGCAAATGTAAGCTCGGGGATTCTCCTGACTTGTATAACTGCAGGGGCTATTGAATACAAAGCAGGAATGTGAAGCAGACCACAGGCTGGTGGATGTAGAGACAAATGAATTCAAGTTTGGTGGAATGCAGCCAAGGTTCTCAGTTCACTGATGACTCCCGGGACTGGCAGGCAATATAACAGAAGATTAATAATATGATGTCATAAGAGGCCAGATCCAGATCCAGCAGTCGCAGGGTCCAAGCTTCCACACAATGTCAATCTGCACTAAGAGTGGGCATATCATGAATGAGACGCTGCAAAGCTGGGACCAGATTAAGGAGGTCACATCGTTCTCTCATAACTGTTTGGCTGCTGCACAGAAGAAACCCTCACGGAGCTGATTACACACTGTTGTTAGACCACAGCATGGAGAATCCGGGCTCACCCAAAGGACACAAAACCTGCAAATCTACATTTGATGACAGAATTGGTGGGGAAACTCAGTATCTTCAATCACAACAAGATCAAAGGCTGACTGTAGAAAAGATGATCAAAAGCCAATATACAAGTTCAAGTTGAAGCTTGATAAAATGCAAACAATTTCCTGAAAGCAAAAATCATGAACTGTAATTTAATCTATATTTGAATTCAGAGATTGCTGCAATAATAGATTTGACACATTTAATACTTTGACTGATGATCAATTGAGCTGTGGGGTGATATCCCCTCCCCGCCAATATGAATGAGACCAAGCGTCCCTGGGCTGCTACAAGAAACTCGCAGACAGGGATAGATAAGAAACAACTTTACTTCGATCAGGGGGAATGAGAAAATAGCACTTAACAGCTATATTGTAGTCTAAATCCTGCTGCGTGGGGTGATATTAACGATCTCATACAAGTTGCAAGCAAAAGGTCATTAAAAACCAAACCAGAAGGAAAAGACTTGAAATGGATGTCAGCAGAGACTCTGAACCTGCTCTTGAATATAGAGGAACCAAAACAAAGAGGAGTGAGGCTGTAAAAGAACTGAACAGAGTATTTCAAAGACTGCCTAGAGAAGAAAAATTAAAATAGTATAATGAAATAAAGACCCATACTTAGAAAACCAAGAAGGGAAATCATGCTCAGCTTTCTCAAGCTAAAATGATTGAAGAAAAGTTTCAAGGTTTGACCTAGGTTACAATACAAAAATATTCTATGGTGAAAGCATGGAAGAAGGCCCCCCACAAGGATGAAAGTAATACAGTCTTTGGACTAAAAAGAATTGGTTGACATTCAACATTTCAGAGGCAGTACAAGATCAAGAACCAATGGTACTGAAGGAAGTAGTCCAGACTACGCTGAAGACATTATTGAGAAACAAAAGCTCCAAGAATGTATGGAATACCAATTGAGATGTTTCAGCAAATGTGTGCACTGCTAGAAATATTCATATTTGTGCTCATTCCAAAGAAAAGATGGCCTAACTCAATGGAAAATGTATTGAACAATATGATTAATATCACATGCCAGTACAATTTTGCTGGAGAGAGTTTTAAAAATGGTTACAACAGTCTACTCACTTTTTGCTGCTAGAAATTCAAGCCAGATTCAGATGAGGAAAAGGAACAAGAGAAATAATTGCTGATTATCAGAGGGAATTGAACCCACTCTCCGTTTTGAGGAAGAAAGATGGAGCTTTGTCCCTGAAAAGATTTATAGTTTTGGAAACCCTTAAGGAACAGTTCTGCTCTGCTATATTCTATGAGCTAAAATTTCAATGGCACTGGATTTGTTTCATGATTTGGGTCAGGTGGAACTTGGCTGAAAGTTGAGAATACTAGAAAGATAATCATGCGTATTTCAAGGATTCAGCAATGGCATTCTGCTGTGTGAATTCTAAAAAAAAATCATAGATAACGTTTAGAAAAATGGGAATCCCAGATATCATCATACTCAAGCATAACCTGTACAAACATTAAGAAGCAGTATAAAGAACAAAAATAATTTTTAATATTAGGGTTGTATATTTTTATAAAACTGGTTCAATTACATGGTGATAAAATAATCTAAGAAGCTAGCTTGGTCTGCATAAAGAATAGTTTGGCAATAAGATTGAAGTATGCCTCACTAATAACCTGAGATTTGTATTATATGTTATTTTGCTTTTTGAAAGGGAAGAGAACGTGAGATACTTATTATTACCTATATAAGACTACTTACTGTCTTCATGGTAGATTGCAAGGTTTTTGACTTGGTAGAGAAAGAAATGAGTATTAGCTTCTTAGAGCTGCTGTAACAATATACCTAAAAGTCTGTCGCTTAAAACACACACACTTAATTTCTAGAGGTTAAATGCCTGAAGCTTGTTTCACTGGGAAAAAAATCAAAGTATTTGTAGGGTACATTTTTCCCAGAAGTTTATTTAAAATATTTTTTACTGAAGAGGAACATTTTTCTTTAATGGTCAAGTTACTGAATGTATTTCTAAACTATTGATGTCTTTTCCTATTGCAAGACAGTGATTTTTACTGACCCTTCACTGAGAATTTAGTGGAGTCCTTTGTATGAAATTTAAATGAATTTTTAAAATTTTTCTAAGAAGATAAAAATTAGCATTATAAGTATGTATGGTGAATTTAAGAATCATTGTAAATAGTATTAAGGTATCTATCATCTGTCTGTCTGTCTATCTATCTATCTATCTATCTATCTATCTATCTATCTATCTAATATGTGTTGGTTTTAGATGCCATGAGGCCAGTTCTGTCTCATAGTAATGAAACACAGTACAAAAGAATGAAACTTGAGTTTGAATGGTCTTGAGTTATCCTCACAACTGATTTGTTTGAGACAATTATTGTAGCCACTGGGATTCCCTTGAAGGTCTTCCTCTTCTTTTAACTTCTATTTAACCAAATATGATGTCCTTCTCCATGGACCAGGCTTTCTAAAGCGCATTCTGTTTTATACTTATTCCAAGGCCATTGTTTGTTCTCTGTCAATCTTTGATTCTTTCAATATTCTTTGCCAATTCTATAATGAAAAGACATCTATCCTGCTTTTCTGATTCACTGTACATTTTCAAATGCATATGCAGCATTTAAAAATAACATGGCTTGGGTCAGGGATACCTTTGTCCTCAAATTGGTATCTTTGCTTGTTAGCACTTTAAATTAAAGAGGTCATGTGCAGTAGATTTGCCGAATGCAATGCATGGTTTGATATCTTCACTGTTGCTTCCATATAGTTTCAAGTAAACTGAAG